AATTGCTCTAACAATAAAATTTGTTATATATAAAATATAAAATCATATCTTCTTATTTTTTTCAAACCAATTCTTAAATGTTACTTTTGTCATTTTAAAGTTTTATCAAATTTTGTTTATTTTATTTTACAAATCAATTCTTAAACGCTAAGCGATATATTTACATTTTCTTTTATATTAATAATTCAGAGATATATACATTGACACTATATTTTATTGTTAAACTATATTTTATCTTGGAATGAAGCATTTTTGGGGGCTTGGTGATAAGACTAAATTTGTCTTCTTCTAGCCCCGGTCATGTAATTATTTTTTATAAGTTACAACTGTAAATTTTAATTTTTTTTCGGCAAAAGTGTAAATAAATAATTAAAATAAGGAAATGTCAAGTAAGAGAACCAGTAAATTACCGTTAGAAGTTTTAAATTTAATTGTCCCATTTGTAATTCCACCATAGCTCGTTAGAAATACAATTCTGTGTGGCGATGAAGATTATTTAAGGTCCAATTTTTCGGATAGTGAAATAACAATGATTGATCCGATGATAGTTGTTAAGAAAATATTTTTTTTTATTTTACATTATAAGCTGAATTATAATTGCGTGTTTGTTTATTTTTATTTTCGGCAAAATTTTATTACATAACTTTTTTGTGAGAATAAATTATTTGTTTTATTACATAGTTAACTTTTTTCATTGCTAAAATTTAAAAATTTATGAAACTATGAAAATTACTTATAAAAAAAAGGTAAAAATCATCAAAAAATGCGTAACTAATCAACAAAACACCAAAATAATATTAATTACATTCTTAGGAATCAAATTGCAGAACAAAATTTTTTTGTCCACCTAGCTTGTGTAAAGCGATACACTGTGCGCATTACGCATTTTATTATGACATTTTATTGAAATTCTATTAAGTATATATTAGCATATTATGATATTCTTTTTGAAATTTTCTCAAAGGGGCTCTATAAAAAAAATTGCGATGACGTATGGCTATCCTCATCTTCTCCGAAGCCCCGGTTTGTTTTAATTATTATTTTTTTATTTTATATACTGTAAGTTTTATTTTATGTAAAAACGGAGGAAAAAATTTTTAAATATTGTAAACTTTTTATTAAGTGTATCCCTTTTTATTTTATGTATTATTGTAAGTCTTTAGTTTACAATGTTAGTCGTTTACGACTAATCATTGTAAACTAAAGACTTGCAAAAAAAAAAAAATATTTAATTTATCACGCAAAACAATTTTTTTTTCCATTTTAAATAAAATAAAACTTTACAACGTCACAATATAAAATAAAAAAAGATAATTAAAACATTTTTTTTCGTTAGTAGTAAGGAAAAAAAAAAAAAAAAAAATGATAAATTTTTTTTTTATAACGCAGAATTAAAACAAAGAAATAAAAATTACAATAAAACAACAACATATATTTTTTGTACAGTATATATTTTTTAAATATGCATATTTTGCTGATTAAATGAAAGGGCATATCTTAAATTTTTAAATATTTTTTTTACAGTTTATTTTTTTTTAATAAATCAATCGACATTATGTTTTTCATATTTTCGTCGAGAATCGAGTTTCACAAACGTGTTCTCCAACATTTAATTTCAGTTTTTTAAGTTACTTTAATACTATCTAATAATTACTATTCGTGTGCCGTTGTGCATGTGTCTTTAATATCCGTTTGTCGTTGTGCATATGTTTTTAATATCCGTATGTTGTTTGTCCACAGTCCACATGAAGCACATGAAGCACAGTCCACATGAAGTTTGTCCACAGTCCACATGTCCACATGAAGCTCACGCACTGCAGCGTGTTGTCTTGACCTATTTTTAGTATGCCGTATTTATAATTACAATTTTATATTTAGACGAAATTTGGATTTAAAAAATTAATAAAAGGTTATAAAAGAATTACAATAAAAAAAACAAAAATATGTATATTTAGTTTTATTTTAAGATGTGAAAGAACAAAGGTCTGTCAGGTGGACCATAATACTGGGTTATTAAACTCCACTATATTTTGAAGGCATCTTAACGTATATACGCTATTGTTTTAAGGTGATTGGCATTATATACTTATATAGTATTAACCACCTTAAAACAATGGCGTCTTAAAGACGTAATGGTAACAAAATGTTGTGAGTTAAGCCCGTATGTTTTTAACAGTTTTGAATTATGAGAAATATTAGGGTGTTGGTATTTAAAACATCGATTTTTTATTATTATTATTAGGCATTAGTTAAATAAATACTGTTCACTCATTCTAGATAAAGTTATATTTATCCATACTCTTTTTTTGATCTTCTTTAGAACTTTTAGAGTAAAAAACAACTTTAACAGAGCTTTCTTGATACAAAAACTTTAAAATCTATAAAAATTTTTTGATTCTGAACAAATACGAACATATATTAAAAGACATCATTTTATTGTTACATCATTTTATTGTTACAGAGATACAGAGAGTAAAAAGGAAACTAATTTCACAAAGTAGAAAACAACTCGATTTTGTCTGATCTAAACAATAAAATAAATATTTTATATTTATTTTATCCTTTTAATTAACATTATTGCGATAGCAACTATAGCAACCACAACGCAGTAGCAACAAGATTGTAATAAAGCAGATTATTTGTACCGCAATAAATAAATAAAAAACACTTTTGCTGTAGCGGAAGTGATGTGAACAAATGATGAGTAAAATTTGGAGGATGAAAAACTTTTCTATGAGAACTTTATACAAAGTTGCCGTTTATAAAAATTAGCGCGCTTAAAGGAAACAAAACGAATCAAAAAATGTTATCTGTTAGAAAATCCTATTTATTTTTAACATACGCAACATATTGGATTAAAGATACAAAAAGATTATTTAAATAAAATTCTTTTAAAAATTTAGCGTCTCTGCTGCCAGTCTCTGTTCTTCTATCAAATTATATTAAGTAAATTACATTTTAAGTGAACGCGTAGAGTGAGGAGCATTGAAATCATTGTTAGATTTACGTCATTACATTAGTTGTGTAAAATTTTATTAATTGCTTTTGATAAGTGATAATTTGTTAGTAATCATTTGTTGAATAACTTGTGCCAGCTTTTGATGAATATTATACTTTATATCTAAAATGACGAAAATTAATTATAATTAATACCATATTAAAGTTAAAAGCATGGATAACAACTATGACAATGTAAAATCATATATATATATATTTATATATATATATATATATATATATATATATATATATATATATATATATATATATATATATATATATATATATATATATATATATATATATATATATATATATATATATATGTATATGTATATATATATATATATATATACATATACATATATATATATATATATATATATATATATATATATATATATACATAAACTGAAATTATATATATATATATATATATATATATATATATATATATATATATATATTTATATAAACTAAAATTTATATATATATATATATATATATATATATATATATATATATATATATATATATATATATATATATATATATATATATGTATATATATATATATGTATATATATATATATAAACTAAAATTTATATATATGATATATATATACATTTATATATTTATATATACATACATATATATATATATATTTATATATACATACATATATATATATATTTATATATATATATATATATATATATATACATATATATATATATATATATATATATATATATTATATATATATATATATATATATATATATATATATACATATATATATATATATATATATATATATATATACATAAATATATTAAGTTTTGATAATTTACTTTTTAGTAATAATTAAACGCTAGTAATTTAATCCTGACCATTTTTTATGTCATCTATAAAAAGATTTAATATTAGTATTGCACAATAAGCGGTCTTTAAAATGCTATCAGGTTTAGTTTTTAAACATGCAGAGAAGGAGGTCATTTATTATCGCTATATTTTTGTTCAATTAATGCTTTACAAACTTATTTTATACAACTTCGAGAGTTTTTCTCTAAAACTTTAATCGAATTGATTATTACTGGGGTCTTGTGCTGCTCATCGTTTGTATCTTTTTTATTATCATTGCTAATTTAGTTACGAACCTTTCAACAGCAAATATATTGACAATTTTGATATCACACTGAGATTATTCGTTGCAATTAAGATAAGTTTTATTTTAGGTTTTATTTTAAAAGAAATTGAGTGCAAATCGTTCATTCGTTTTTTTGATTATTTTATAAACATTTTTTGCTATTATAAGTTTTTTAGTAGTTAATAACCTATTTATATGGAGGTATTTATCTATCTATCAGTCTATATATATATATATATATATATATATATATATATATATATATATATATATATATATATATATATATATATATATATATATATATATATATATATATATATATATATTGGTGTGTGTGCTCGTGTGTGTGTATATTATTCAGCACTCGATGTTTTAATTTACTTTTTGCAGAAAATGAATTAATACATCGAGTTTAAATCTCTATGGTTATTTTTTTATAACATTTATAAAAATAATATTATTTTTGGACATGTTATAAAAAATATATATAATAAAGTATATCGAATGTATATATAGGAAATATAATTAACATATTTCAAAGTAAATATATTATTTCTCTATTTTAAGGCAACAAATATAATAAAAAATTATTCGAAATATTATATTTGTAATGGTCGATTCACTCATACTAACTAAAGTTGCGCACGCACGAACGCATTCAGTTGGCTAAGCAAACACCTTCCTACACAAATAATTGGCTGTAAAAGTACAAATTTACATTATTGATTAAAAAACTAAATAATGTTAAGTCGTTGGGAAATCATATTTAAAAGTATTTTTTGTTCTTTTGTTTTTGTATGTGGAACGATTGGAAATATTCTAGTAATCGTGTTCTTCAGTTTAAAAATGAAAAAAACTGCTGAGTTTCGTTGGTTTGTCGTTCATCTTGCCATTGCCGATTGTTTTTATGCTGTTGTATGCCCTATACATATAATATATTTGCTAGCAACAAATGCAAAATGGAATATTGGTAAAGAATTATGCAAAATACTGACAGTATCAGGACCGCTTTCAGTGAATGTCAGTGCATGGATTTTGTGTCTAATGGGATACGAAAGATATCGAGCAATTTGCCACCCGTTTACTAGTCGGTTTTCAAAAAGAATGATACATGTTTCGGTTGCCGTAACTTGGATAGCTTGCATTGGAATGAAGATATTTACCTTTATTAGAACTAGTGTTATAAATGAACAGTGTTTTTCCTATTTTAATGATGGAATTGAACAAACAATAAATGCAGGTGTTTCACTTTTGGCTGAAAGCATAATCCCAATTATTTTATTATCTTACTATTTAGTGCGCGTGACCATAACAATGCGGAAAAGATCACAACTCTTTGAAGCTAAAAATGATAACTCTATTTGCCTAAGAAAGAGTTATACCGCTTCATCAAACTCATTTATATTAGCTGAAAAATATTCGGGAAAAAAAGAACATAACTTTTCAACGAATGATGAAAAATATTCCAGAAACTTACTCCAAGTATCTTCTTGTTCAAACAATAATCTTATAAAAAAAGAAAGAAAATCCTACAATGAGATCGAGTTGAAAGAGTTAAGTATAAAAGTTCCTCAACTTTCAAAAAAAACTTCTAAATTATGGAATTGTCTGTGGTCAAAACATTCTACCTTCAAGTTAGTAATAACACCTAGCTCAAGAAAAAACTCATCAAATAAAGCAGATCGTGAAACCATTATTGTTTTTTTTTTAGCTGTACTTATGTTCATGATAATAACATTTCCATTTAATGCATATCATTTTTCAGCGTGCTGTCTGTACAGTTTCTATTTCAACGAAGAACAAGTCAACGAGTACGGTCCTAAATTAATAATAATTAACGACTGGCTTGCTTTGCTTGTGCTCTCTGGAAGTCTCTCTAACGTAATTATTTATAGCGGACGATTTCCTGATTTTCGTTATCAAATTTATGAGTGGGCTCACAATATTATAAACAAACTGTTTTCAAAAGTCATTTTTAAAAGATGTGATAACGAAATTTTAGAAACAGCTCTGTAAATTAATGCAGAGTATTTAAACAATGTTTTTGGCGACATATTTAAAAAAGAAAAAAAATTTTGCTGTTGAAAGAAAATAGTTGAAATTTAAGAAGTAGTATCTTAAACTTTTTTAAGAGATTTACAATGTTTATAAATCTCTTAACATGTGAGACTTTGATGAAAATAGAGAAAAACTTTTTACTATCCTGGATTTATAAAATCACAGTTGATTTAAGTAATATTAGGTATAACTTAGTGTTTTTTGGATGTCAGCTTTAACACTGGCAAGTTTTTACCGTTCGGCTTTTACATATTGTAGTACTTTTACATATTGTAGTAGTCTAATATAAGGTCATTATTATATTGTGCATGATGGCCTAATTTTTTTTTTTTTCATACACTCAGCTGATATAAAAGACTCAATTTTTTTTTTCATACACTCAGACTGATACAAAGACTGTTTTTAATTTGGATAGTTAAACATAGAAAACATGATAGTCATTTTTATTTTACTTAATTCCTGCATTATCATGACACTGGCCTAAAACCAAAATAATGATCATTCCTTGCATTGGAGCTTTAAACCTGAACACATCGAGTCTAAATAGGATTGAAGTGGGTCAATGTAAAACGGTTTATTGTTACTTATTTATTTTGCTATATATTTGTTCCCATTTTAATTATTTAAGGCCCATGACAAAAAAAGTCTAAACACCATAAGCCAACACCATAAGTTTGTTGGACAAATAGAATGTTATTAAAAAATTAAACTTTATGTATAAAGGAAATTTAATATTTTAATTTCAAAAAAATACAACATTGTGTTTTCTTTTTTTTGTTTTGTTTTTGATCGAACAAAAGTCAAATATTTGAATACTATTATTATTTAACAATTTTTTTAGAAATTTAACGAGCTACCCAAGCAGCCCATTTTTTTGGGTTGACCATTTTGCCTTAGTTAGTGGAGTTCCATTGGGTTTGCAGTTGGACCTCAATTTGCGCTAAATGATAACTACGAGGATTGGAGTTGTGATGGCGTATGAAGGGGTTGTTTACCACGTTGTTGCACAACAAGTTGTCTTTTAACTATGTTTAGTATAGAAATAATAACTATTCTCAAAATAAAAATTACTGGAATTAATTAGACAGAAAGTTAACACTAGTAATAAGTTTTTGTTAAAAATGTTATAGGTCAATTGACTCGCTAGTTTGACCTTCTGACTTATTTTTATGTTGAGTAAGCAATAAATTACGTAAAGGTTGAAATTAAATGCTAAGTTAGATACCCACAATTCCATGCTAGTCTGGAGAAAAATGAATGAAGTTAATGTTATTCTGCTAAGCAGCTAATTTCAAACCAACCCTAGTTACCATAGTACTACATTAGGCCATCGTAACAACTAAAACTTAACAATAGCAGTTACCTAAACTAACATACAACTTCGTTAAATATGCATTGTATTAAGTCTCGATAAGTATGGATGCCAAAATTAGCCCAAGGCATGCCTATGCAACGCTAACCATAACACTAAATTAAGCTAACGAAAGCTTACAACATAATAATAATGGCCCAACCCCAGTAGACACTGTGCGTTTTTAAAATGTTCTTTGGACGCTTTTATTAAGTTTAAACCAAATAAAAACGTTGAAAAAACATTAAAAAAAAAAACACCGTGCCCATAGGAACATAATGAAAAATTAATAAATTACATATAATGCTTATGTTGGCCAAATAAGCAGGCGTATTATAATGCAATGCCAACATTTGGCCATATAAAACTCTTTGTTGCACAAATAGCAACAAATGTGGTGAACCAACGTTCGGCAAATTAAGTTATGCTTAAAAGTCAACAAAACCTGTATTTCGAACTCTTTTTTTTTTCAATTACCACAATTTGACGTCAATAGAAAAAGTAATTTAAACTTTTCTAGCTTGAAATCTTTGAAGATATCTAGATGATAATGATATTCAAATAAATATTATAAATATTAAAACTTTTTAAGATGAAATTTATGAACCAAAATATTTAAAATCATAAAATGGAAAACTGCTAATACATGCATTATGCATATATACAAATTGGGTATGCAACATGGTTGATTGTTCATTTAAAGTGATGCAGAATAGCTTCATTAGATGCAGCATAGTGGCTAGAGTACTGGCTCAGAATATAGAGGTCCTAGGTTTGGCGCCGGCTTTAGCATAATAAGCAATATAGGTAAGAAAGGATGGATAAATATTCAAAGTAATATCCTTCTGCGGTGCTTTAAGATACGAACGTAAAGACCTCTGGGAGCGCACTATAAATCACACAAAGAAAAATAAAAAAGTTACTATTTTTAGTAAAATACAAAACGATGATCAAACTACTTACTTTACTTTATTCAAATAACTTAAACTTGACCTTTGGTTATAAAAAAGTGTTAAAATGATACGGTGTCAGGGTTATAAATTAGGTGACTATTGTTCCGTTTTTACGTAGGAACACGCGCTAAAGTAACTAAACGTAGAATTGCAGCGCTAGGAATGTAGCGCTAAAGTAACTAAAATTGAAAAACCGGGCCAGTGGCAACTCTTTAATTGCCATATAAAGGCGACATACTAAGGCCTGAAAAGACGAGTTCAGCTCACTAAAGAACATCACAACTCGACGAGTTTAGCTCACTAAAGAACATTACAATTTAAGAAGAACGAAAGATATTAGAGTGAAAGTCAGAAGAAATTGATTTAGAAAGATAGCATAGAGAAAGCGGACAGATATTGCAGTAGATGTTAGAATGTGCAATTTAGGTTCATATCAAGTTAACTTGATATGAACTCTCGTTACGTAAAAATATTTAAACTATTGCTTATTTAAGACATAGGCAATAGCAAAGGCAACTCTTTAGGTATTGTGGTTTATCCTCCTCCGGCTAGTTGCCATACAGAGGCCACATTACCTAGGCCCGCAAAGACGAATTCAGTTCACTAAAGAGCATCATAACCCGCTTTGCAGACCAAGAGTAAAGTGATTTTAGAAAGAACGATAATATAAAAGAGTGAAAGTAAGAAGAAGTTAAGATAGAAAAATAGCCTAGAGAAAGCGAACAGAAATTGCACTAGATGTTAGAGTGTGCAATACTTACTGTTAATTAGGTCGCCTAATTAATTTATGCGGATGTTAAGGTAGTATAGAGCAAAAAGGTTTGTATGTGTTTTTTACTAGGCAACTTTTTAAATAGAAGATTAGAAGGAATCTATAACCAACAAAAAAATAGTTTTCCGTTTTTATACTATAAAATGATTGTGGGTTATATATAAATAGCTCTAAAACTTATTAAATCCTAAATATTCAAAATGTCAAACTGCTTTGATTTTCAAAAAAGGCTTAGCACATGCTTGTTTTGTTGTTATATTAGGCGTATGACATTAAGTGTGTTCTGAGCTTTATACAGGTAAAATAAAAAACTTTCATAGTTAAAAAAAAAAAAAAAAAGAGTGTAAATAAAAAATTACTCAAGTTTTTCAAACTTGATCCAACTTCAGATTTTTTACACATTGTATACAGTACGTAATAGTTAATTTTAGATCGCCGGAATATATGTTAGTGGAAATTATGAAGAATTATATATAAAAATAAGCGCCGCATAACTTAATTTAATTTTTGCCATATTTATGGTTGAATCGCCATAATAAAGCAATCTGACCGCAATTTATATAAAAATTAGACAGGCGCTCCTTTGTTTTTGATGTTTCCGTCTAATTTAATCGTTTATATTAGTAAAAAAGAAAAGAAAATTGAATCACCTAAAAATATTATTATCTGCAGCAAAATCAAACGAATAAAATGTGTTCGTGTTTTAACCATTTAACAAAACAAGTCAAGGCAAAATAGTTCATATATTTAATAGGAGTTTATAAAATTAAATAAAGATCTAATTTAAATAAAAAAATTTTGCATGTTGTTTTTTCAATAAAAGTTTTGTAAATTAATATTAATAAAATATTTCACAAATAATTTTAATAGGTATTGGTAATATTTATCAAAGAATTTGTTTTTGAAGTGCTTATAGGTTTTTTGACCATATATTTGTTTGCTTTTCATTGTTTGTATTTTAGAGTGAGTATTATGGATGCTCAAAAATCTTACTTCATTATGAGTAATAATTCCGATTATAGTCATTCTTAAAAATATTCAGCACTCAATAATACATTTAAAAATAGCATTATTTTCCATTATGGTGCTTTTTATACCCCGATCTACCCTTTGAGCGCATTTTAAGTGCTTTATTCAAAACTAATTCGCCCAGTGCAGCGTGTGAATTCAAAAAAGTTGTATTTTGATAAAAGCGAAAAGTTTTGAGTTTAATAAAGTTAAAAAAAAGTTTTTAAAAGGAGTTACAAGAAAATAAAACTTATTTAATGCGTTTAGTTAAAAATGTCATATTTTGCTATTTTTTGTTAATAGAATTATTAAAAAGCAAAATATCATATTTATATGCTCTTATCATACTAATTATGTTATATTGAAATTATAAATTCCCTCTGGGCCCATCTAATTTGCTTAACGATTTATTTGCTAAAAATATCATAAACTCTATTTTTCCCTTTAATAATATTTTTTTTATGTATTTTTTTCTATCGCATTTAGTTTGCCGTTTAAAAATAATTACAATTTAAAAAATATTAATATTTAGGAAAAAGACATCACCGTTTGATGCTAAGTATAAATTAATTTATAAATAAAAAATACACATTTATTTATATTAGTTTAAAAAAAAACTGCAAAATAGTAAAATACTGCATATAAGGTATATACCGTTGCAGATTAAATATAAATAAGAAGTAATAAAAATGGTAATAATGATAAATAATATTGCAAACAGTTTAATTAAATGTTTTTATTTTTTTTTTAAAAAATCAGGCATTCGAAATATAAAACATCAAGGTTTTGCAATTATATAATTCTTTCAATAATTATATTTCAACAAAATTGAATGATTTGAGCGCAAATTTAAAACTTTACGCAATTTTTACGGTTGTCTAAAACCCGGCCCGGCCCAAAAACCTTGAGCCCAGCCCGGCCCGGCCCGACACAACCTAAAAATTTCTTTGTTTTACTAAAAATCTTTGTTTTTGCCAAAGACATACATTTGTTTACCTTTTTATTAGTTAAAAGTTTAAAATATATAAAAAAATAATATAATAAATTAATATAATAAAAATTAATATAATAAAATAATATTTAAAAAAGTATATTTTTGGTTTTAAAAAAAAATTATTAAGAGGGTCTATATTATAACGTTGTACGGTTTTTAAAGGAATCTACCTACGTTTATACTTTATAATTGGAGATTGAGATGTCAATGCGATGCCTTATGCTGAGAGTGACTATAACAAAATGTTTTCATAAAAAAGTGATCGTCTCAATGAACCAATGAACTCAATGAACCACGAAGAATTTAACGCAATCGCATAACATATTTTAAAAATTGTAAAGGAATACTTGAACGTTTAATCACGAGTTGGTGGCCTGTTATCCCAAGAAAAATTTCTTATTGGCACAGTCGAATAATTAACAGTGAAGATTTAGCAGCACTAAGTTCAGATGAGTAATTAAATGATGCTGTAATGCATGCTTGCCTCATTATGCTTTACCTTTTTTTTCAACTCAACGATGGGTGGAAAAAAAACTTGATTGCCTTTATAAAAAAGTCCGTTTATGCAAATACCACTGGTTTTTTTGTCCCAGCTGCATTATACCGGCTATACATTCGTGCTAGATTTGTACAAGGAATGAGCGCTAACCTTGATAGCAAAGATATATGCGATATTCTGTTCAAAATGGTCATAATGCATTTGGTGCAATCTCTGGTGTCATTATGCCTGCGCGCCGTGTCAGTTTTCTTACACGACATTTTCATGAAGCCAATGCATTTGTCTTCATAAAAATGTTGCAAAATGAAAATTGCAAATAAATGTTATGTTACCGGTTTTTGTTGTTTAAAATTTTGTTTATTTTTGTAAAAAAAAATTTCAAACAATAAATATTTTTATTACTTGTGAATTTGGTATAATAATTAAATAAGTTTTCTTATCTTGGCTGTTTTTGGGCCGGGCCGGCTTTAAGGTGCAACCGTTTTTACTAGGGTTGAAATTTTCCAGGAAATTTTGCTCAAAATTTCCAGAAATTTTCAAAAATGTTTTTATTGCAGCAAACTAAAATAGTTTTAAATTTATTTTTTTGCTTCAAAAAAATGTGTTCTTCCATCATGGTATATTCTTTAAAAGTTTCAACAAAAAATATAAAGTAATAAAGACCCACAAGCAAAAAATTCACATCTTTGAGTCAAATTTTTATAATCAAGTCTTTTAAGTCAAAAGTCATGCATTTTCCTAAAACAGCAATAAAACGCCAAAGTTGTTCAATGTTACTTTTACGTATATAACTTTTTCAAAACGTATATTACGTATATTATCAATGCATAATATCCGGCGTTTTATCAACAAATTTTATTTAACAGAATTAATAACATTACTTGACAAAAACATGTTTAAACGATTGTTCCTTGAGCGAAGTAGACACGGTTCTTAGAGGCGATCCACGCCTTGACGTTGGCCACCAAGTCATCCAAATCTTCGTAAAACTTACTCATTTTCCAGTTTATCAAAGAGCGGTTGATGTGATAGTCCATAGGTACTTTTCGGTTGGTGAATATGGCGGATGTGAACAGAGTCGGATCTAGGGGGTATCCTGTGTTGCCCAGGATTCACCCATAATATTCTAAGAAATTATAAAAAATTCCGTTTCATAATCTAAAAAATACTAAACTTAAATTTATAGTATACTAATATGTATATATGAGTTCTTTATAAAAAAAAACATTGCCTTTATAGAAAAACATACACGGCCATAACAATGTTTCAGACTTAGCTCTCCTCCGTCATGTTCAAAACGCCGCTATTAAATCAGGACTCTTTTTTTAAAGTAAACGGTACCGAAAGAACCCTATTAATCAATCGTTATTGCAATGTATTTATTTTGCTTGCCGTAATAAAGTCCCTATTGTTTCAGGATTCATTTGACCCGAATTTCCGGTAGACAACAAAAAAAGTTGCAGGAACGTTTGATCAAAAGGGTTCTCTCGGTTCCGTTTATATATAAAAATGAATCCTTAATTATTCTAATAACGCCTTAATTATTCGCATAAAGCCTTAAGTATTCGAATAAATTGAAGTTTATCAAAAATTAGCTAATAAGTAGTTTTTATTACAAATTTTATTTTTGTTTACAATTATGGATTTGTTGCTATCCAAAGCCAAGCCTTTGCCTAATATTACAACTTACAAAGCAAAGCTTCGTAATAATCTTAAAGAATTAAATTCAAATTTTCCTGTTATAAACAAAGATCTTCTTTCTTTAAGAAATTCTGAAATGGAAGCTTTTATTCCTATGCAAAAAGAAAATGAAGACTATATTGTTTTAAAGTATGAGTTTAAACGCGTTTTTTTATGTTTTATTTTGTTTATAAAACAATAATTCTTGACAAATAATGTTTAGTTAAATATGTTTGTTTTAGTTATATTTAGTATATATATATATATATATATATATATATATATATATATATATATATATATATATGTTATGACTTGGTAACTGTCTTTACAACTCTGCTGCTTTATTAATAAATTCATCAGATAAAACACATAAAATTCTTCGACTATTAACTTCTGTTGAGCTGTTTGAGAAAGCAACCTTTTATTTGAGATACCCAATAATCTTAAACCAAGTGGAATCTAAAAGTTTTTCCTCGCTCTCTAGTGTTTTCATGGCATGTGTTTCATTTAAGTCTTCTGATTCTTTTACAGAATTAAATGATACAAATATCGCTGAACTTATAAAAAAAGAAGCCTTTAAGAATTGCAGAAACAATAAATTTGCTTCTTTTCTTTGTTTAATTGCATTATCTACAGTGTTAAATAAACAAATTTGGTCTATTAATCCTGAATTTGGACTTGAAAAATATAAAAAGTTATTTAATGTATGTATATACCCACGTAATGATCATAAAACAAATAAAGAAATTCTGAGTATTTTATGATGTAACACTGATTGTCGCTCTATTTCCAAGGATAAAGATATGTGGTCACCAAATCATTTTGTCCCTATTGTGAAAGTTTTGCCAAATGTTTTATTGCATTCTTCTGTTAACACTAAGATTCTTAATTTATCTTGTCAACCTCCTAAAAATCTATTTCCAAAAAAAAAAAAATTAGTTCAATCTCACATAAAGTTTGGCATAAGTAATGAAACTAAAATTATAGATGTAAATATTGATATTACTCCTAATCCAATCTTACTTAATTGTATTCCTTGTTCATCAGATCAGTCTGCAGGCCTTCCTTTTTATGATGTTTCTACTTACTATGAGTGCAGTAGACAACTATCTGTTGGCAAAGATGATTCAATGTTATTAGATCTAGTTAATAAAATATTTATTCCTAACTCGTCTTTTGTTTTTCCTATTTCTGGTGAAAAAAAGAAACGATCATTTTTACATAAATGGCTACTTGAATATTCCTGGTTAGCTTACTCACAGATTGAAGATGGAGCATACTGCCTTCCATGTACACTGTTGGGAAGCAGAATTCCAAACAATACCTTAATAATCAACTTCATTCAAAAACCTTTTAAAATATGGGGTAATGCAATTCGTGCTTACATGGATCACAATAATCATTGTCGACTTCATCAAATGTCAATGCATTGTCTTAACATGCTGCAATCTAGATATAATTCAAAAAAAAATCTGATTGAGTTTGACATCGATAATCAGAGAAAAAAACTTATTATAAGTAATCGAAATAAATTAATTCCAATTATAAAGACAATTATTTTTCTTGGCCGCAATGATATTGCTTTTCGAGGTCATCGTGATGACAGTAAGTATCATCCAGAGATTGGAGAAACATGTAAAAACAACATTGGTATAGGTAACTTTGTAGAGCTTTTAAATTTTCGCATTGAAGCAGGTGATAAAGTTCTTGAGCACCATATTCGTTCTGCTCCTAAAAATGCAACCTATATATCTAAAACCACACAAAACGAACTTATTGAGTGCTGTGGAAAAACAATCAAAGAAGTTCTAATTAATAAAATTAAAAAGTCAGGTTATTTTTCTATCTTGTGTGATGGAGCCTCTGATTGTTCTAATATTGAATAGCTATCTCTAGTTATAAGATACATTGACTGTGATAATGTTATTTGTGAAGATTTTCTACAGTTCATTGAATGTAAATCTGGTACAACTGGTCTTAGTCTTGGGCAAAACATAGTTTCTGCAATTGATGATCTTGGTCTTGATATCCAAAAATGTAGAGGTCAAGGATATGATGGTGCTGGGGCAATGTCTGGTAAATTAAAAGGTATTTCATCAAGAATTAAATTTATCAATTCAAAAGCTATTTTTGTTCACTGTGCATGCCATAAACTTAATTTAGTTGTAAGTAAATCATGCAATGTTCAGAGTGTTAGAAATGTTCTTGATCAAATCAAAGATATATCATATTTTTTTAACTTATCACCTAAACGTGCCAGCTGTCTTAATAAATTCATTTTTCCTGGTCAAGCAAAATTAATCGATACATGTCGAACTAGATGGGTTCAGAAACTTAAAGGTCTGGATGTTTTTTTTGAAAACTACATATCCGTTTTTCATTCGATGGAAGAAATGACATACAATGAAAGTAAGAGTTATAATATTGATACTTCTTCAAAAGCTTCATGTTTTTTAAATCTTATGACTAATTTTTCTTTTATTGTAAGTTTAGTTTTAACCAAACAAATAATGGACTATTTCTATGCCATCACTGTTGTTCTTCAAACTAAAGCATTTGATATATCACAACAGTGTAATGAAATAAATTGTTTAAAAATTCAAATTTTAGATTTAAAATAAAATATTGATGTCTATCATAACGAATGGTACTTAATTGCTCTTGATCTAGCTAAGACTCTTGATGTTTCAGAAGTTAAACTAAGGCTCTGTGGCAGACAAATTTATAGAGATAATTATCCCTCTGTCACAGTTTCAGATTATTTCAAATATTCCATCACATCTCCTCTTCTAGATCATTTAATGAATGAATTAGAAGATAGATTTGATAAAGGTGATATGGTTGTTTACAAAGGTTTATCTGGTATTCCTGCAACTGTTGTAAAAAAAAATAAAGAAAAATGTTTTTGGAAGTTAGATTTTATAGAATTTTTGCATTTTTATATATTGGATATGCCTCATCTTTCATCAATTCATGCTGAATAAGATTTGTGGGAAACATTTTGGAACAATCAATCTGTGATCCCATCCACTATTACAGAAACTTTAAAATCTATTGATATGAGGGGTTTCCAAAACATTAGGGAAGGTTTTTTAATAATGGGAACAATTCCAATTACTACATGTGAATGCGAGAGGAGCATTTCTGTTATACGCAGACTGAAAACTTATATGACAGAGTCAAGATTTAATTCTTTAGCTCTGATGTCTATTCCTCAAGAAATAATTCCTGATGTAGAAAGAGTTATGAATATTTTTTCTGTTTTAGGGGAACGACGCTTAGAGTTGGTTTTTACCTAATATTAATTTATAAATTTCTTTTTTATTTATTGACTATATTCTTGTATTTTAGTTTGTTTTATAGTTAAGTTTATTTTATATTTCATGAAAATTAGGAAAAACAAAATGAAAAATAAAAACTTAAAAAAAAATTGGCCTAACTGCCTATCAAGAAAAGGAAAGAATCCAGAAATGGAGGGCTAACCTAAGGCAACAATATTAATACTTTACATAAACTGTCTTTCAAGAAAAGGAAAGAATCCAGAAAGGGATGGTTAACCTAAGTAATAGAATTAATAATTTACATTAACTGCCTATAAAGAAGAGGTAAGAATCCAGAAATGGAGGACTAACCTAAGGCAACAATACAATTACTTTACACTAACTGCCTATCAAGAAAAGGAAAGAATCCAGAAATGGAGGGCTAACCTAAGGCAACAATACAATTACTTTACACTAACTGCCTATCAAGAAAAGGAAAAAAAGAAATGGAGGGCTAACCTAAGGCAACAATACAATTACTTTACACTAACTGCCTATCAAGAAGAGGTAAGAATCCAGAAATGGAGGACTAACCTAAGGCAACAATACAATTACTTTACACTAACTGCCTATCAAGAAAAGGAAAGAATCCAGAAATGGAGGGCTAACCTAAGGCAACAATACAATTACTTTACACTAACTGCCTATCAAGAAAAGGAAAAAAAGAAATGGAGGGCTAACCTAAGGCAACAATACAATTACTTTACACTAACTGTCTATCAAGAAGAGGTAAGAATCCAGAAATGGAGGACTAACCTAAGGCAACAATACAATTACTTTACACTAACTGCCTATCAAGAAAAGGAAAGAATCCAGAAATGGAGGGCTAACCTAAGGCAACAATACAATTACTTTACACTAACTGCCTATCAAGAAAAGGAAAAAAAGAAATGGAGGGCTAACCTAAGGCAACAATACAATTACTTTACACTAACTGCCTATCAAGAAAAGGAAAAAAAGAAATGGAGGGCTAACCTAAGGCAACAATACAATTACTTTACACTAACTGCCTATCAAGAAGAGGTAAGAATCCAGAAATGGAGGACTAACCTAAGGCAACAATACAATTACTTTACACTAACTGCCTATCAAGAAGAGGTAAGAATCCAGAAATGGAGGACTAACCTAAGGCAACAATACAATTACTTTACACTAACTGCCTATCAAGAAAAGGAAAGAACCCAGAAATGGAGGGCTAACCTAAGGCAACAATACAATTACTTTACACTAACTGCCTATCAAGAAAAAGAAAAAATCCAGAAATGGAGGGCTAACCTAAGGCAACAATACAATTACTTTACACTAACTGCCTATCAAGAAAAGGAAAGAATCCAGAAATGGAGGGCTAACCTTAGGTCACATGACAGTTTATAGATGGAGTGCAAAGTCCTATGGCTTACCTTCTCGTTGGTGCACTTCCTTAAATAGGTTAGACAAGTAAAAAATGTCTAACTTATGAACAGAATAGCCAAGGCAATATTGTTGTTAGTTTTGTTTTATATAGGTAATTGAGAAAAATGCCCGGTAAGTAATAATAAAGTAATAATAAACTGATGCCGCTTTGAACACCCCCCTCGCTAGCGCGGGGAAGGAGCTTACAAAAAAAATATTGCAAACTATTTTGGCAACTTGAAAAAAAACAGGCAACACCCACAAAAAATCCTGCATCCGCCCCTGGTGAAAGCAGATCCCAGCCATTATAGGTGATAAATTTGACGACGCGGCGTTTAACATGAGAACGTACGTTATTGTTGTGGAAAACAATATGATTCTTTTTGCGCGGTCTTTTTGCCTCGATTGAAACACGAAGGCGATTAAACTGAGCCAGGTAGGCGTCGTTGTTGATGATGAACTGCCGCTTACCGTTTTTGTCCGGTATTTGCCATTGTTATTGTTCTACGCGTTGTTAAACCTATAACACATGCCATTTAAATTGACCTCCCAATAGATGATTCCGCTTCTGTTCCACCACACACATCGCATAGTCTTCTTAGAGTGGACATGTTTTGGTATTCCTTCGGGGTAAACCCCTGGCGAAACGTAAGCCTTCTTTCTTTTGACGTTTTTAAAAAGAAGCTATGATTCATCCCCAGAGACAAGATTCTTCAAAAATGGTTTTTTTTATTTGCTACAGCAACTGAAAATTCAAACGCAATCTGTTCTTTTGTTGTCGGAGAGCTCGTGTGGGACCCATCGGCAAATTTTTAACACTTTTCCAAACTTTTTGACGCAAATAACGAACGTGGATTGATTGAAATTAATGTCTTCAGCCAGCATTCGTGTTATCAGGCTTTTACTTTTCTTAAAAAAGATGTAAAATATTCAGAAAATACAAAGAATAAAATCTTTTTTAGATCAACAAGTTTTATTGTGCATTATTTTTGTAGAGTGTTTAAAAGAAGCAAAGATTTTTTATGTTTTTCTCTTTGCCCTTAATATAATATCTATAATTTCAGTATTTATTAAATACTAAAATGACCGAAGCAAAAAAAAAAAAAACATATTTTTTTATGAGGCAAACGCCATTAGTTTTAAGCTTGTTGTACCTCTGGTTGTGTGGTATAATGTGTTGTTTGAGATTAACAATAGTAGTAAGTAACTTCACGCAAAAGAATTTGATATGCATGGCACCATAGAAAAACAAACAAAGAAGTTTCTCGTAAACCGCAGAAATGAAAGAGAGTTTAAGAAAACACTGGTAGATGCAGTTAAAATTGTAGTAAATTTAGAGATACCAGCACTTTTCGAACCTGAATCGGCCCGTATCAGAAGAAAGAATAAACAATTTACATATAAAGGAGATGACGAACCTATTCAAGATCAAAAAAAAAAATTCAAAATAAACTTTTACTGTTCTTGACAAAACAATACAATTGGTTGAAGAAAGATTAACTCTTATGAAACAATAAGTCTATTTTGTTTGATTTTCTCTATGATGTTCACAGAAAGTTTTCATTGCTTGAATCTTGAGAAAGCTTTGCAAAATGGAGATATCTTCAAAGATACCAATATCTTCAAAGATACCAAAAAAGTTAAAAAAATTAAAAAGAATTTCAAGGTGTACATTGCCACAGGATTTGCTAAATTTTATATTAAAAAATAATCTAACAGATTGTGTTACAACCTGTTAGATTATAATAAGCGTATATATATAAACGTATATTTATTACACAAATATACGCTTATATATGATTATGCATGCATATACTTTTCTGAATATAAATACATAATCTAATAACTTAACTGTAGCATTCCTTTACAAAAGTTAGTTGAGGGATGGAGGGAGGGGGAGAGCAGAAGAGAAGAAGAGCGTTTGACAGTTTTGTCTAGAATGTCAAAACTTACAAAACTTAATTATTAAAAATTTTCATAAAATACGAGTGTTTTGGTTAAAAATAAACGCGGACAACTCGCAGAAAACCAGTAGGTCTTTTAATCAAAAACCACTGTTTAGTATTGATGTTTTTATGACATTAAATTATTTATAAATGCGTTGAAAATAAAATATAAAGTAAACAAAGCACAAAATAAATGATATTAGGAACAAAATAAAAAAAAAAGAAATCATTAATAAGATTTGTATACTCTCAAATATTCTTTTTGATTAACTTTTGAAAGCAAATAAAATATTTTACACTTGTTTTAATATACTTTTTTTATTATTCTCCATAGAAGAAATCAAAAATGTTGTAAACCAGTGCATCATCGGCTGTGAACTTAAACCTCAATTCTACAAACCACCTAATTCTAACCTTATAAAAGAAACCCAACCATTTAAACGACTTAATGTAGATCTTAAAAGCCCACTTCTAACATTAACTAAAAATCGTTTTATCTTTATAATTATAAACGAATACTTGCTATTTACCGGAGAGTGCCCTAAGGTAAGGTTGGGAAGATGAACAAATTTAATAGTTGGAAGAATAAATAATTACTTATTATCTGCCTTTGGGAGTTGCGTTGTTTTATACTTGTTTATATAATTACTACTTTATATGTATACTTCCCTTAGGGAATTACGATTAGTTAGTATTAAACTTTTCTATTGTATAACTTACATATGATAGATAAAACCTTAGATATTAGGAGATATTTGATATTTAACCTTAGATGTTATTATTTCAATATCGTATTCGAAAGAAAAATTGACACACTATTTTGTTGATATACAAATTAATTATGTCAAATTTTACAATTGTTCAAAATTCAATATCCTTAACAATTTTTATCATATTTAAGATTAGGAAAATAAAAACAACAAAAACATATATAAAAATATAAAAAACAATTTTAAAAACATCAACATTAAAAGAAACATATGAGTTGTTTTATACTAACAGAGCACAATAAACAATTCATACAGCAGTTGTATAGTTTTTGCGCTACTAAATAAAATCTTTAAATATCGAAACATTTACAAAACTTAAATATATACTCATCTTAGGGTTGTAAAAAAAAAAAAAATGTTTACATGTTTAAATAACACTCCGACTGATGTCTACCATACAGTTTTAAACCTAACATACTTTCAATTTTTAATTACCCTCTTCAGTATGCTAGAAAGTTTATTATATAACTGTTTTATAAATGTTTCAATATTTAAAGATTTTATACTTATATATTCTAGTTTTTTTTTAAACAAACTGGAATATATTAGTACAAAATAACTGGAATATATTAGTATAAAAAGAGCTCTTTATGGCATTTAATTTTTGCATTATTGTTACCTTTTGAACAATTAAAATAACTGCGGACGTGTATTTCAGGCGCCCCAATTAGGAAGTCCGTAAAAAAATGAGTTACGTTTTATGCAAAACATTTGTAGAAAACCATACTATAACTCTGAACCCAACAATAATTTTTATTTTATTGAAAGCCATACCCTAACCAAAACCCTGGGCAAAACCCTAAACCTAATCCTAAAGGTCCGGGTTAGGGTTTGATTAGGGTACTGTTTTCAACATAATACGTTTCGTAAAAGACTTTTCTACGGATTTACTAAAAAGGGGTGCCTGAAATACACGTCCGTTAAAATAACATTTAATGTTGTTTTTATTGTTCAAAATAAAACAAAAATACAAAAAATAAAAATAACATAAAAGCTGTTTTTTTACTTATATATTTCATCGTTTTTAAAATAAACCATCTGATTTTTAAGTAAACAACAATTATACCTTCTTAACTAATTATTGTTAAAAATAAGTTAAACTTTACAAAAGCATTATTCTTTACGACCCTGTCAAAACGCCTTTATCTAAATATTGTTAAATAATGTTGGTTATTAAATATAACTTAATAATCAAAATTAGTTATTTCTTATGTATTTCCACCTGTTGAATTCAAAAATTAAAAATGACATTTTAGCTCTAGTTTAAGAAATATAAGCAAAGATTTTCTCTCAAGGATATAAAATTTTTGGAAATGTTTTTTTTTTTTTTTTTGACTATCCTTAATGTTTTATTCATGTTTAAAACTTGGGATATTAGTTATGTGTGTTTGCTAAAGTTTCTGGTCTAATCTATTCTTAGTTTTATTTTCATTTACTAGTGTAAAATTTGACAAATCAACATGCTAAGAAAGTGTATAAATCTAGTGGACAATTTTTGTTACATTTGCGTTGAAATAGCATTTACCTCACAGAAAAGAACTATGACACGTCTTGCAAAGACTGCTTACTAGCATTACTTTGATATGAAGGTAGGGGACCAGGAGAAGTCATGGGCTCCACATATATGTTGTAGCTCTTGTTCGGTTACACTATAAAAATGGTTGAAAAATAAAAAAAAAATTTTTGGCTTTTGCTGTTCCTATGGTATGGAGGGAGCCTAAAAACCATACAGATGACTGATAAATCTGCTTGGCCCCACTATTAAGGCAGGTTTTGTCAATGAAGAAAATAGGAAAAATTAAATATCCGAATCTCCCACCTGCCATTCGACCTATTCCACATTCGGATATTTTACCAGTTCCTACTCCACCACAGTTGTGAGCTAAAAGCAGAAAATGATCGCAGATATGAAGTAGAAATAGAAGAAAAAAGAGAAAACAACCCTTCAACATCAAATGATCCTGATATTTTGTTAACAGATGATGTGCCACACAGATTGAGTCAAGCAGAATTAAGTGACCTTGTTCGAGATCTGGAGTTGTCATAGGTAAAGGCAAAACTTCTAGGGTCAAGACTAAAGCAGTGGAGTCTTCTCCAATTTGATGTCAACTCAGGAAAAAAGTTCTATAAAATTTCTTATAAACTTTTGAAACATATAGCCTATAGAAATTCTATAGAATTTCTATAGAATGTCTATTATTTTCTATAGAAATTTCGATAAAACTTTTTTTCTATAAAAAAAAGTAAAAAAACGTTTCAATAGGAATTTTTATAGAAGTTAACAGAAACTCTAAAAAAATTCTATAGAATTCTATAGAATTTTTATAGGCCATATGTTTCAAAAGTTTATATAAAGTTCTATAGAATTTTTTTTCCTGGGAAGCCTTCACATTACAGAAAACGGCAACAGAATCTGCTTTATTTTTTTGAGAAGAAAAATAATCTTGTTATTTACATTGATGTCATTAATGGAGATTATTCATAGACTCATCGAAGCTAAACTTGAAAGCTGTATTACTGCACAATGGAAACCGTTTTCCTTCTGTTCCTATTGGCCATGCAGTTCACATGGAAGAGACTTATATAAACATGAAAGCTCTTCTCAACTCAATTTTTACAATGAACAAAAATGGAGAACTTGTGGTGATCTAAAAGTCATTGCTATACTTTAGAAATGCAATTAGGGTACACTAAAAACTGCTTCATTTTGTGTATGTGGGACAATAGTGATAGAAGTTCATATTATATAAAAGAAGACTGGCCTGCAAGAAATCTTAATACAGATGTTAATTGTTGATTTTCAAAAATCTGATCATCTCATATAGATAGTCATTGTGTGATATGTCAGATGTGGTGTCAAACATAATTCAAAATTACCTTGCAGCCTTTATTTCGTCGAAGAATCACCGTTAGATGATTTTCTAGGGCATTTATAATAGAATTCTGAGTTTCTGATGAACAATAAGATACTGATATTTTTGCTTTACCTGAAAATTGCTTTAATCTCATTAGGTGTTATTTCAGACCATAATTAAAAAACATTTAAATCATCTCAACGAAGTTTTTTTATACCTAAAAAAAAAGCATCACATAAAACATTCCAATATTTTTTATTAACTTGATTCATCGCCACATTTACAATATGATGGCAAGAATCATTTTCAACTTCTGTTTTATATTTTTCAACTACTGTTTTTTGTGTTTCTGTATCGATTTCCTCCGATTCCGGTTCTATTTGGTTTATTGAAAAATACACACTGATAGGATTGATGAAATAAGTATTGTTTATAGTTTAAGGAACAAAGTCTTTTGATGATCCTTGGTCATCACTTGGTCTCCTGATATATTGAAGCATGAACTAGATAGTGATTTTAGTGATTCTCGTCTTTCTTGCTTTTTTACTTTTCGCATTCACTAGACCACTTTGATATATGCACTTCATGTGGCGTGATAAAATATTCTTAAATAATAAATTGAAATTCATAAACATAATTCATAAATTATGCTTATAATCATGGCCCCCACATGCTGAAATGGGGCCCCATCTTTGAGCCTTTTGCGGGCCCGTACGCTTCCCCTACCATTTTGGTTGTCCATACAAAAATAGAAAATTTTATTTTTATTTGGCAGATAAAAAAAAGGAGGCAATCATAAAAAATAAATAAAGTTTGATTAAAATCTAAATCATTTTAGTATTTATTTAGAGATTTTTGTTTTAAAAAGGATTAGATTTTTTTAAAGCTTTAAAGATAAACTTCAAATAATCATTTTTTTAAAATTGAAGTTTCAACTAAATGAGACTGAGTTTTAATTATCTAATAAAATTTTTTATTCAAATATGAATTAATTTGATAGCATTTTTATTTTTTGCATCGCATCTTTAAGACTTAGTATTGAAATTAAGGAGATCAAACAGCATATTAGCTAAAATCCGTGATTATGTTAACCATAACATTTTGCTTTAATATATATTATGCTATTTTTCACTCTTATCTCATGGTTGTCAAGTATGGGGACAATCTAAGCCGCTTTCAAGACTAACTCATCTTCAAAATTAAGCTCAAAAGTTAATTTTTTTCCAACATATTGATTCAAACAGTAACATACTCTATTTTTTTTATCTGAAGTTCTTAAATTGAGTAACTTTATTCAGCTATCAAATTGCTTGAAACCAAAATCACAATAACCTACCTCTTACATTTATCAACTTTTTTAATTATAGGGAAAATTATTGTTTATAAACCTTCTATCTTTCAACATATAAATCTTCTAATTTTCAACCCAATTTCTGAACTTCTATTTATCTAATATTTTTTCTCTTTTCTGTTCTGTTATAATACTAATTTTAATGTCTTTGGTTGGATTGATAATTTTGTTCTTTCTTAAACTGAAATATTTTTATTAGTATTCTCTTTATCACTATTATTGTTATTGTTATTATTGCTGTATTTTTATCATTATAAATATTTTTATTGTTATTATTGCTATTATTATTATTGCTATTATTATATTATTATTAATAATATTATTATAATATAGTATATACTCTTTATAATTTTTACTATTAATTTTTAAATGCTTTTATTACTGCTATTATTTTTATTTACTCCTACTTGTATTTTATTGTAAACACCCTTGACGTAACAGCTTTATTCAGAATATATTTGATTTGATTTATTTAAAATGTCTTTAAAGATTTATTAACTTGAACATTTTTATTAACTCCTACTTGTATTTTATTGTAAACACCCTTGACGTAACAGCTTTATTCAGAATATACTTGATTTGATTTATTTAAAATGTCTTTAAAGATTGAAGTGCTTAACTTCTTTTTTGTCATGGAATGGTATCAATGCGCCCCCCCCCTCCTTTTAAAACATTAATTAACTCTTTAAATTAAAATTACAAAAATGGCTTTAAAAAAAAAAAAATTAACTTTACTTTGTAATATTCAACCAAACAAGACAGTTTCCTTATTTGGTCATCAATTTTTATTTATCAAAACATTTTTATTGTTTATCATAACATCATTTTTAAATGTTATTTTAAACAAGAAGTTATATTGACAGTGTGCCTGTTTTTATTACTTTTGGCAATCAAAATCATAATTAATGGCCCAACTATGTTTAATAGTTTAATAACCAAGTAAAAAACTTTGAAAAAAACGCGAGAAACGACTTACACAACGGTTCGAAAAGAGTACCAGCTGTCCCTACCATTGTGGAGGTCATGGTTATAATCATAGCATAGTTATTTTTTTTCAATATTTCATAATTCTATTAAAAGTGTGACCAAATTAATGAAATTCAAAATCTTAAGTTATCTTAAAAATAATATATATGATAGCGAAAAAAATATAGTCAAAAAACCATTTTTATTAAACGTTTCCAGAAATACTAATGAATCATTAATTTTTACTAACCTGTTATATTTTTATCTGAATGCCAATCTCTTAGATACAAATATAACTTCTTTTTATATTAAATCAAATAAAGGTAGTTTTATGATAAACAAACACTAGATAATTCAGGATTTTTTGGTGTTTGAAATAGCTAACTTTCAAATATGGAGCTAACTCCAAACATTTGTATATTTATTCTTATATCAAATAATGATGCCTTGCAAAAACTTGCAATGATTGGAGACTTGGAACAAAAAAAACCCTTTAATTTCATTAAAAACCCCTCCCCCTCTCCTCCTCCAACCCAAACGTGAGGGACAACATATAAAATTGATAGAATATTTTTTGAACTATTCTTAACTAGACTTATATTCATTGATAAATTTTAGGTTTCATAGTATTATCTCTCAGCGTTCAAAAATGATAACCATATAAAATTTGTAACCCCCAAACTTTATATGAACACAATTTTTGAACACTGAGAGATAATACGATGAAACTTAAAACATATCGACGAATTTAAGTATAAATATATATCAATTTTATCTAATATGTTTATCGGAATATAAGTATAAATATCGACGAATATAAGTCTAGTTAAGAATAGCACAAACATCATTATTGACATAAGTATAAACATACAAATGTTTGGAGTTAGTTCCATGTCTGGAAGTTAGCTATCTCAAACACCAAAAAAATCCTGGATCCGTCACTGCATTAAGGTTAATCAAAAAATGAAACAAACACTATAGTCTATTCAATTTTGGCGAAAGACATCGTAAAAATAATTTTTGTGAAGGTATACAAAATACAAACTTTTGATCTAGAGTTATTTAAGTTGAATAAAAGACAAAAAATGTTTGCGTGAAATGAAGAAAATAGCAGAGTTATTAATAACATATCAAAAAATCAAAATCTCAAAAACTATTGGTTATGTCAAACTCAAAAATAAATTATTACGAATATGAGCAATTCTATCAAATTTACAATTTTTTTACTTGTCACTCCTTTTTGTCAGATTTGACAAAATTGGTAAAATAGGAATCACCCTAATATATGTATATATATATATATATATATATATATATATATATATATATATATATATATATATATATATATATATATATATATATATATTTATATATATATATATATATATATATATATATATATATATATATATATATATATATATATATATATATATATATATATATATATATATATATATATATATATATATATATATATATATATATATATATATATATATATATATATATATATATTAGGGTGATTCCTATTTTACCAATTTTTGAAAATCAAGTTAGTCCTACCTTGAATGGTCGATCACTAATATAAAAGTAAATTTAGGCCCCAAAATTTTGATCTCAGATGATTTAAGAATTCCCTCCAGTCTAGTTTATTTATAAAAATATATGAGACTCCAGAAGTCTGGCAGAGACTTTTTTTAAATTAATTCAGAAAGCCACCTTTTCTTCTATATGGTATATTTGGACTAGTTATTAATAGTAGAATAGGACCAAAAAGAAATATGGTGGTTTTTATTCTAAGATTTAGAAAAAGTGATGAAAAAAAAGAATTTTTACGTAAAATGACATTATAACGCAATGACGCTGGTT